GACCCACTGAGCAGAAGCTTCAGTTCTCAAGTACTTTGTTTCAGGATGGCTTAATTCAAGTGTTGGATCCTCTTCTGTATTATGTCAGCACTGCTCCACATGTCTGTTATGGCTCAAGCTCTAGGCCTGCTCCATTTCCTCTGCAGTTTATCGTTCAGTCTGGATGATCAAATGAAATAATCTCTTTTCTGTATGTAGTCCTATTACTTCTAATTTACATCCTTCTTCATGCCATTGAAAACACTCCCTTCTCCTCTGAATTCAAGACCTCTGACTTATCAGAATATACAGCACATACAACTTCAATTTCACAGTGAAAATGTGGATATGCTGTTTCATCTTAACATTTATTTAAGGTTTTTCCATAGTTCAAACAAAACATGACAAATGACATCCCATTTCAACTGATAAAATAAAAAGAAAAAAAAAAAAAACCATTTCTACAAAGTTAGCCAGTGTATAGACTTTCTTATTTTACAAAACAAAAAGGTAGGAACATGTTACAAAATAATCATCAAACCAATAAATGTCAATAGTGCAAAGAACGAATTGCAAGTATAGGAGAGCGAGGGAGGGAGAGTAGGGTGGGTGGGTGGGTGGGTGGCTGAACAAACAGGAAGGGGGAACAGCTGTGCCTGTTACCACACAAAATCTCATATCTCAGACAACTCATAACGTAGATTTAGCTTTAGTGGCAGAAGAGGGTACGTACTTCATCCATAAGGGATCTCTGCGTGCTTCAAATTCTTGTGCTGGCCAGTTCCGGAGATGAATACAGCTATAAACACGAGCTGCTAAGAGTCACTGAAATGAATTTTTCACCCTCTGGAACACAGGTGACCTATCAAGGGCTTGATAGTTTGTGTGCATTCAAGGGCCAAGGAAATACCTGAGAATTTCATGCAACAGAGTTAAGTACCTTCAGGCTGAACTTTGCACACCTTTTCCTCTTGCTTTCATGCTCTTTTACACGCAATTGCTCTCTATCCTGGGAGGTGAATGATCAAGAGGGAGTTTTAGCAGCTATTAAGTTATGTGGACAGATAAACCAACAGGTCTTGGATGTCCTGTCAAGTAAATATGTCAGCCAGCAACCCACCACACAGGTAAACTATTTCTGCAATGTTTCTGAGGATACTGCTACAATGGAGAACCTAAAATCTGTCTCCTTCATAGGATGACTAAATTTGAGTCTAAGTAAAATAAAGGACAAAAATATCATCAGTCAGTTACAGCATTTCTCAGCTGAATTTGCCCATTTTCCTTTGCTAGCACAGTGTCTAGAGTTAATAAATGTTAAGAGGCATCACAAAAATAAGCTCAGCTGCCTGGAGATGTTGTTCATCTTTACCCCTTGTGATCAAAGACTGTTTAAGTTTATCTTTCTAGGCAAAATTCCCTGCAATACCTCCAGTCTTAACCACAGTACAAAAATGAAACTAAAACATAAAAAGAAATAGAAAGAAGGCTGGAAGTGGGAATAGCTTCAGGGAATACATGTATGCTTACCTTGAAGGCACACTTCCTGCACGGAGTGTTTGAGTACTACAAAGCTTTCAAATAAACCAAAGGACAATGATTATATCTTCCTCAAAAGGAGTGTTAAACTGAAACTATTCAAAGATATTTTTTCCCCAAGATAAAAAAAAAAAAATCATCTCCACTACAGACATAGCTTGTATCTAAATCATTTCTACTACTCTAAAACTGACAAACCTCTAATCTCTTTTCCCCTCCCTCCCATCAACAGTCTGTCCAAACTACTACTGTACCCCTATGGATAAAGAGTATATGGTTCACGTACATAAAACTCATACATGACAGTACCTAACAGTGAAAAATTGGCACTGTTCAATCAAGCAAGAACAGTGGTAGCCTCAAAAAGGGCACTTAGTATCCCAGTGTTCAAATGCTCAGCGCTCATAATGGTGCTGGACTGACAAAAGAATTCAGTGGTGACACCTGGTGATACCAACACTACATTTTCTAAAGATTTTGGTTGTTAGTGCTCTTTTGAAAAATCAAACTACTTACTCTAGTGCTTCAGTAGGAAACAAGACCTTTTGAAACTCTGGCCGAGGTATTCATCCTAAACTACTGAAAATTCAGTTGCAGGTACATCAGAAAAATATTCTCCAGAGATCAGAATGGATTAAAATAGCTTTTTTTTACAAACCAGAACACTTTTCCAGTTTTGCTTGCATAACTGCATGAGGATTGGAAGAGATACTTCTGTTGTACAACTAACTACATAACAGAGATCAGAGTCAGGCCCATACGCTTTCATTCATTAACTTTGAATTAAAAAAAAAAGAATCAGATGAGGAGGTAGAGAAATTAAGTAAATCCAGAAACTTCCAATATGTTAATCTTTCAGTTTTTAGGACATGAAATATTCTGTGGCTGGAGGATGATAGCGACTGAATAGTTTAAGATTCCAACAGAGACAGAAAACGATATTCATAGAATCATAGAATAGTTTGGGTTGGAAAGGACTTTAAAGACCATCTAGTTCCAACCCCCCTGCCATGTCCAGGGGCACTTTCCTCTAGATCAGGTTGCTCAAAGCCTCATCCAACTTGGTCTTGAACACTTCCAGGGAGGGGGCATTCCTTTGATTTTCTCCCCTCTTTAAGGAGCACAACACAATTTTGTTTATTTGCTATTACTTATATGTGTTTTAAAGGGCTACGGAGCAACAGGCAAAAATTTGGACACTGCCTGCAAATCAAAGAAGGAAATCTCCTGTTTGTTTCACAAAACATCCTTACACTTTCTCAGCAACATCTCAGCACTCCTTCAGCTTGGTTTTGTTGGATTTCTTGCTGGTCCTTTTCAGAAACTGTACACTAGGAACTGCGGTGAAAAACAGGAAAAACACCCAGAAGTTGTTTGAATGCCTTTGAAAAGCAGAGTGAATTTTGAAGAGGGGAGCTGCCATACAACTCATCACAGCCAGCCTGTAACAGAACTGAGAATCAGTCACGAATCGAGCCCCATGCTCTCAGAGATTTCACAACCTCTACAAGTTAGCATTTAATAAATACTAATTATTTGCACTTTGTCAGTCATTTTAATCCACTGATCTTAAAATGCTTCATAAAAGTTAATAACATTCTTCCATTTACAAAGAGATGTTGCAAATCTGACCTTTGAAGGTCCCTTCCAGCCCTAACGATTCTATGATTCTATGATTCTATGATTCTATGAAATGCTTAGTAGTAACTGGTGTGCTCCGAGGAGCTCCCTGGACTTCAGTAGGACTACCTGCTTATCAAGAAGTCCTAGAAGGACTGAGGCTTTACGTATTCACAGCGGTGTAGCTGTGTAAATATGTATCACTACGTTGACATAGGCCTGAGATTCAGAAGCATACAAAAAAGCATTTATAAGTTCCTTATAATTCGTTTTAAATTCTACCACTACCAGCTTTAGACTCAATGTCTCACGTTTTGCTTGGGATTTTAACATTGTAGTGATTTTTACAGGAGTCACAGTGAAAGCAATAAATCGTGAGTGTATTAATTTTGTCATTATATGAAATGTAAAATAAATTTATAAATTTATAAAAAAGCTTTCATTTTAATTCATTATGATTTTAAATTACATTGCCA